CTTACTTTATTTATTTGAAAGGCACAGTCACAGAGAAAGAGACAGAGACAGAGACACAGACACAGAGAGAGAGAGAGAGAGAGAGAGATCTCCCATCTGCTGGTCACTTCTCCAAATGGCTGCAACGGTTAGAGCTCAGCCAGACCTAAGCCAGGATCTAGGAGCTTCTTCTGAGTCTTCCACATGGGTGCAGGAACCTATTTACTTGGCCCTTCCCAGGCACATTATCAGGGAGCTGGACTGAAAGTGGAGCAGCCAGGATCCAAACCAGTGCCCATATGGGATGTTGACATTGTAGGCAGTGGCTTTACCTGCTACACCACAACACCAGCCCAATAAGTAAATCTTTTAAAAGATTTACATTAATAAACCTGGAGAATATTTATTTAGTCTAGAATGACTCTTCATGAATTTCAAGACTTGATTTTTGGTGAGAAGAAATGGTTAAGCAAAGAATGAAAGCAAAAACTTGAGTTAAATATGAATATGCATGAATTAAAAAATTTGTATCAAAATAAACTTATTTTTTAATTCCACTTTTCATGAACGTTTTGAAGTAGCCATGAATTCTCAATAAACATGTATTAATTAAAATAAACATGTATTAATTCCTGTGCATATCATATCAATACAGGTAAGTAAATAAATGATGATACTTATTCATCAAGTAACACAGATACTTAAGAAACCTTCAAGGAAAACAAATCACTAAGGATCCAACAGCCCAAATGTTAATTTGAGAGAACTTCACTGACTGAATCTACTAGTAAATACTTGTTACCACCACTTGCTGGAAGGAGAAAGAATGTAATTTATTAGAAAGAACCAAGAGAAAACAAACTTCTAATATGGCAGTGCAAAACAGCCATTTCTCAGGTTTTAAGCACAATTTTATTATGTTAATACATAAAGATACTAAAAATCCATTTGACTCATGATAATACAATAATGGGACATTAATAGATCAAACCATATTTTAATGAGGTCCTTTCATGTACTTTTTGTGATGATGTCTAAATTAGTCTTGCCCTCTAAAAATTTCTACTCTAAAGCAGTTCTTAGTTTTCGCTGTGTACTGGAATTACCTGATTAAAAAAAAAAAAAAAAGATGACTGGGTCCTCCTGCCCAGAGATCCTGTTTTAACTGGTCTGACAGCAGTATGGGTAGCCCCACCTCATTGATTCTAATATTCTGCAGAAGTTGAGAATTATTGCTATAAAGTATTTTTCAGCCTTGGAAATACCAACATTTTGGCCCAGATGTTTTGCAGTGTGTATTATGGGATGTTTAGCAGCACCCTTGGGTTCTCCCCAGGAGATACCACCAGCCCTCCCTCCTACTCCCCTTCCTCAGTTATGACAACCTGAAATGGCTCCAGACATTCCCAGAAATTACCCTTGGGAGACAGCCATTGCTGTATAGGAAAGAGTACTATAGCAAATTAATTTTATTATTTTGGGCTGTTAGAAAACAGTTCCTGAAAGATAAAAGCAGGGCAAAACAGACCTTTCCCTGAGACTCTAGGAAGTGGGACACGGTGGGCACCAATGAACAGTGCATTGATTGCCAGCCCGCAGAATGTAACTGAATACCCGTAAACGCTTAGAGACATGGGGAAATGCTGAGAATGTCATAAACTCAGTACAGTTTTGAAGTATCCATTTAAAAATTAGCACAGCTGCAGTGAGATGGGAATTTACTGATTAGAAATAGATTTGACCACATGTGTCATATTTGACTTCATTCCATTTTATAAGGCTTCCAGATTAAAAAAAAAAAAAAAAAAAAACCTGCCCAAATCTTGTCAACAGGCAAGTATTTTTAGAAAAGCTTTGCCCATTCCCATTCTCCCTGTCAAGGATGTGAATACTGATTTCCTCTACAGTCAACTGAAGAGGCTTCAAGTTACTGACATTATAACAAAATGGGAAAATTAACATGCCTAATTGTGCTTTGAACCCTACACTTTCTGCATTTTATTTGCTAATGCAATTATACCAAGTTCATAATACTTTCAGGTGTGATTTTAAAACATAAGTAGGATGGCAGACTAGAAGATAAATTTGGCTGAGTTTATTTCATGCTATCTAGGTTGGCCAATACTTTTCACAAGCTAAGTCTTGAGAGAAAAAATCAAATGTATCTCTAATTCTGTGAGGGCATTTTCATTTTCCCTAATTCTATAGTCTGTAATCTCAGATTGGATTTCCTACCGATCAGAAAGCAATTTAAAAAGAGAAGTAAGGGGGCTGGCATTTAGCCTAGTGGTTAAGATGCTGGTTAAGACATCCGTGTCTCACATCAGAGAACCTCAGTATCTCAGTTCCAGTTCCTGATTCCAGCTTCCTGCTAATGCAAATCCTGTAGGGCAGCTGTGATGGCTCAAGTAATTGGGTTTCTGCCACACACATAGGAAACCTAGATGGAGTTCTTGGCTCCTGTATTTGGCCTAGCCCATTCCTGGCCATTGCCTGCATTTGGGGACTAGCAGATGGAAGTGTGCATTCTTTCTCTCTCTCTCTCTCTCTCTCTCTCTCTCTCTCTCTCTCTCTCTCTCTCTCTCTCTTTCACACACACACACAAATACAAATAAATGAAAAGAGAAGTACGTTAAAAAGTTTCCTGATTCTTCCAAAAAACAATGCTTCCTCAGCCATAAAAAAGAATGAAATCCCATCTTTTACAACAAAATAGATGTAACCAGAGACCATTATGCTTAGTGAAATAAACCAGTCGCCCAAAGATAAATATATGCTTCCCCTGACATGTGGTAACTAATATACAGACCACAAAAAAAGAGAAATGTATGTGAACAAGACTGACATTTTGAGATTTGATCATTGTTTATAGCCCTTGTCTATACTCTTGAGGAACAGTGGTTTTTCTACTTACTACTTGTTGAATACCAATGTTTCCTCAAAACAACTGTCGAAATCTAGGCATGATAAAGAAATTCCCAGGAATGAGGGAAGGGTGCTTGCTAGTCCAGCCACATTCCTCCTCCACTAGCACTGACACGATGACAGATGCACTTGTTATTGCTGTTTTTAGGAAGAGTCAGTGATGGAGATTCGGTAGACAAGGCCATGACCACAAATAAGGGAAATTAGCACTGTCAAAACTGGAAGAGACAGACTAGACATTCAGTGACTTCCTCATTTTTGCTCCTTTACTTTTCTCTATATAAGGTAAAAGGGAGCCAAGAGCAACAAGGACAGGAACCTGCTACTAAGGGCAACTGTTTTGTCAGATATTGAAAGTCAAATATAGAGTCGCCACTGTGGCTCAGTAGGTTAATCCTCCGCCTTCAGCACAGGCATCCCATATGGGTGCCAGTTCTAGTCCCAGCTGCTCCTCTTCCCATCCAGCTCTCTGCTGTGGCCTGGGAAAGCAGTAGAAGATGGGCCAAGTTCTTGGGTCCCTGCACCCACGTGGGAGACCCGGAAGAAGCACCTGGCTCCTGGCTTCGGATCGGCGCAGCTCTGGCCATTGCAGCCATTTGGGGAGTGAACCAGCGGGCAGAAGACCTTTCTCTCTGCCTTTCTCTCTCACTGTCTGTAACTCTGCCTTTCAAATAAATTAATAAAATAAAAAAAAGAAAGTCAAATATAAAAACAATCTATCTAGCTATCCTACTCAACCCTTTTAAAAATTAAAAACAGACCAAGTCATGAAGTTATTTACTAAATGTAAAAATTTATGGGACCAGCGCTGTGATGCAGTGAGCTAAGCCTCCACCTGTGACACCGGCATCCCATATGAGTGCCGATTCATGTCCTGACTGCTTCTCTTCTGATCCAGCTTTCTGCTGTGGCCTGGGAAAGCAGTGGAAGATGGCCCAAGTGCTTGGGCCTCTGCACTCACATGGGAGACCTGGAGGAAGCTCCTGACTCCTGGCTTTGGATTGGCCCAGCTCCAGCGGTTACAGCCATTTAGGGAGTGAGCCAGTGGGTGGAAGACCTCTCTTTCTATCCCTCTGTCTCTAACCCTACCTCTCAAATAAAAAATCTTTAAAAATTTTTGAAGTTTATAAACTTTAGAACATCCTAAAAGAAATAAAAGCAGGGAAGGAGAGAGGAGAGAGGGAGAGCCTTCTTCATTATCCAAAGAGCAACACCTTAATCTTCAGACATTTAGGATACTGCTGTGATAAACTAACCAGAAATTTCAGAGTTGTACTGAGGCACTGTTAGGAAGATCTAGAAGGTGCTATTCTCATGAGTTAGAATATCAGAAGTGATATTCAAAATATTTCAGAGATGAGATATGGAGGGCATTGGCATTGGTCAAATGAAATGCAGGCAACAATTATTAGAAAGGAAACTGAGTCATAATAATCCTCAAGTCTTCCTGCTGCTGGGTTGGGACTGAACACTCCAGCTTTGGACTTCAGGGAAGTTGGGTGTATGCAGTGATTAGGAAGTGAGAGGAAAGGGTGATGGAATACAGAGGGAAGGTGAAGGAGTTGGTAGAGTCAGAGCAAATATGTTTGCAATGCAGCCTAAGGCAGCCAGTCTCCAAGAGACTCCGGGGGCTGGCCAGTGACAAGCATACCTGTTGGTCTCCTCCCACTGCAGATTAGGATTGGTCTGCTTAGTCAGTAGCATATGGCAGAAATTAGGGCATTTCACAATCAAGAGATATTAGGTTATAAATCACTGTGGACCCTCTCTTGGGTGTTCCCTTGCTCTCTGACTTAGATATCCAGTCTGAGGGAAGTCACATAGCAAGCAGCCTTGTAGAGAGACCTATCTAGCAAGAAGAGCTTTCTGCCAAAAGCCATGGGAGGGAGCTTGGAAGCAAAACTTCAAGCTCAGTCAAGTCTGCAGAGATTCCTTCCCTTGTTGATGGCTGGACTTCAACCCAACCCTCAGAAACTGTGCATATTAAGCTGCTAATTTTTGGATTAATTTATTATACAGGAATAGATAACGAATATAAAGCATTAGAAAAAAAAACTTAAAAACAGCACAAATTAAGGAACTGTTTTTCTGTCTAGGTGCAGGGAAGTTAATGTCTGTGGAGCTGCCCTTGACCACTGTGAACATGGGACCAGGTAGGTCTAGGATGCTCTTCACAAGCTTCCTTAGACAGTACGGAGGTTTCAGCAACAGCAGTCCTCAGGGGAGTCCAGCTCCGTAAGTGTCCTCATGCGAGCTTTTCCTTGTTCCCTGTTTCATTTCCAGTGCCTCTCCCTTCCACCCCTTTGAATGACATTCCTAAGTGAATTATCAGCACTCAAACCTTTTACTTCAGTCTCTATTTCAGGAGAACCCAGGCTAAGACAGGTTGTTCAATGTCCAGAATACAAGGTACCTGTGACAAACTGTTTAGAAACAATGCCAAAAGAGAAACTGTCTCCACTGAAAAACATTTGTGTAATAAAGTCTAGTAACTCGTTAGGTTTCTCTTCTAGTCTTGGCTGTCAGAAAGCTTAGGGAAAATTAGATGCTTAATTAAAGTATATTACTATAGCCTACGGTACTCTTTATGGTTACTACCTATACTTCCTTCTTTTTATGGCTTTGATTTTCTATTATTATTGCAACATTACAATTTTAAGTATGCCAAATAAGCTTTTAGGAAACAAGTAGGATATAAATAATAAAAACGTAGGCTGTATTGCTTCCTTCCTTCAAGGAGACAGGAAAGCCTTGACTGAGGTCAGGAAGAAGCCAATTAAGGTGCGAAGCAGGTCTTAGAAGATGGGTTTATAGATACAGCAGTCAAACATGTGCAATGCATTCACAGGGAGCAGATCTGCACTTCCACTGTCCTGCCCCAGCTCTTAGCACCCAGCTGGAGATGGTACAAGGTGAATGTTCAAGTTGTTCTACTGATTTCTCCATGGCTGCCTTACAGTTCCCCTGCATTGATTACAAAACTACAAGGGCCCATTCAGGAACTTCTCAAGGGTTTATACTATACAAACTTCATCAAACAAACCCCATCAGAAATGGCCTAAGACACACAGCCTTGAGATAAGGGCATTAACTAAAGAATGAAACAAATACACTGTGAATTCCTCTGGGCACTGGAAGGTAGCTTGAAAACAGTACTTCTCAGAAGGCAATCTACTAGACGAAATTTGGGAATGGCTAGTAGATCCTCCAAGACTGAACTTAACATCTTGCAAAATGACATTGAACAGCAGACCAGCTGCCTCTGATTATAGATTTTCAGAGTCTGAAATTCAACTAGAGTATGCGTTTTGCTCACCTTCTACTACTACAAGTGAAAAGTTACAATACATTAGAAATCCTGGCACTTTAAAAGCAACCTTATTTTTCTCTACAAACTGAAGGTCTTACTATTAACTTGGATCTCATTAAGATTTATTACAAGCATTCCAACAAGGTCCCCAGAATCTTGATTACAAAATCCTGATAGTAAAGAAAAGAAGGATACAGATAGCATTGGAATTCTGTCTCAGGCCAGCCAACGCACTCTAAATTGTGACCACCTGGTACAATTATTCTCTTTGAAGTACACACATTTTCTTCAGTCCTTGTAATCAAATACTACTTCAGAGACAGATAGTAATGTTATTTCCCTTGTGACAAACAATGACAACCTGATTAGAAAGATAAACACAGCCCTAGTTCCAATGTTTTAATCACTAGAAGTGGTACTTCTTGATTCTAAATCTCAGTGTTAGCTTGTGGTTTCCAATACTCTCAGCAAAGTTAAGAGGTAAAACTTTCATAAAAAAGATTTATTTATTTGAAAGGCAGAGTTACATAGAGAGAGGGAGAGACAGAGAGGTCCTCCAACCACTGGTGGTACTCCCCAAATGACCACAATAGCTGGGGCTGGGCCAGGCTGAAGCCATGAGCTTCTATCAGGTCTCCCACGTGGGTGGCAGAGGCCCAAGCACTTGGGCCACCCTCCGTTACAGGGAGCTGGATGAGAAATGGAGCACCCAGGACTTGAACCAGTGCTATAAGCAGCAGCTTCATGGCTACACCACAATGTCAGCCCCCTAAAAGGTGCAACTTTATTTTTCCCACTGTAAAACTTGAATCAACGTATTTTCAGAGTGGATATGAGGCCTTTCATTAAAAGTAAATTAAAGTTGGGAAATTTTTTTTTCAAAAAATTCTCATCACACCATACTTTTGCAAGATGCAGTCTGAATTATTGTTTTCTATTTTGCAGATTTTTTTAAACTTTTATTTAATGAATATAAATTTCCAAAGTACAGAATATTGATTACAATGACTTCCCCCCATAACGTCCCTCCAACCCGCAACCCTCCCCTTATCCACTCCCTCTCCCCTTCCATTCATGTCAAGATACATTTTCGATTCTCTTTATATACAGAAGATCAGTTTAGCATACATTAAGTAAAGATTTCAACAGTTTGCTCCCACACAGAAACATAAAGTGAAAAATACTGTTTGAGTACTAGTTATAGCATTAAATCTCAATGTACAGCACACTAAGGACAAAGATCCTACATGAGGAGTAAGTGCACAGTGACTCCTGTTGTCGACTTAACAAATTGACACTCTTGTTTATGGCATCAGTAATCACCCTAGGCTCTTGTCATGAGCTGCCAAGGCTATGGAAGCCCCTGGGTTCACTGACTCTGATCATTTTTAGACAAGGCCATGGTCAAAGTGGAAGTTCTCTCCTCCCTTCAGAGAAAGGTACCTCCTTCTTTGATGACCCATTCTTTCCACTGGGATCTCACTCATGGAGATCTTTCATTTAGGTTTTTTTTTCCCCCAGAGTGTCTTGGCTTTCCATGCCTGAAATACCCTCATGGGCATTTCAGCCAGATCCGCATGCCTTAAGGGCTGATTATGAGGCCAGAGTGCTGTTAGGACATTTGCCATTCTATGGGTCTGCTGTGTGTCTCACTTCCCATGTTGGATCATTCTCTCCCTTTTTTATTCTATCAGCTAGTATTTGCAGACACTATTTTTGTTTATGTGATCCCTTTGGTTCTTAGTCCTATCATTATGATCAGTTGTGAACAGAAATTGATCACTGGGACTAGTGAGATGGCATTGGTACATGCCACCTTGATGGGATTGAATTGGAATCCCCTGGTATGTTTCTAACTCTACTGTTTGAGGTAAGTCAGCTTGAGCATGTCCTGAATTGCACATCTCTTCTCTCTCTTATTCCCACTCTTATATTTAACAGTGATCACTTTTCAGTTAACTTTCAGCACTTAAGAAGAATTGTGTATTGATTACAGTATGCAACCAAAAGTATTAAGTAGAACAAAGAAAAAAAATACTAAGAGGGATAACATATTAAGCTGCTCATCAACAGTCAGGGTGAGGGCTGATCAAGTCACCGTTTCTCATAGTGTTCATTTCACTTTAGCAGGTTTCCTTTTTGGTGCTCAGTTAGTTGTCACCTATCAAGGAGAACAAGTGGTATTTGTCCCTTTGGGATTGGCTTATTTCACTCAACATAATGTTTTCCAAATTCCTAACAGGGATCACTTTTCAGTTAAAATTTAAACACCTAAGAATAATTGTGTGTTAATTACAGAGTTCAACCAATGGTACTAGAACAAAAAAAAATAGTAAAATGGATAAAGTATTACATTGTACATCAACCGTCAGGACAAGAGCTGATCAAGTCACTGCTAATGTAAGCTAATTAAAGTTCAAGATGAACTGCTCAAGAGACTTATGGGTTCTCTTAAGACTTCATCATTTATTTAAGAACTCCCAATTCCAAACCTAGTTTCCTCATCTTCTGCATATCTACTTCCCCTATTTTAGCAAATCCACTGTAGTCTATTTATCTGTATCAGCTCTCCCTCTGCCCTCCTACCACCATGTATACACCCAGGGGTTGTGAACCACACAGGTGGGTTCATTTAATGCCATGGCAGATGGTTTTCCAATTTGTGGAATGCAAAGTCACTTGCTTAGTTACTGCTCCTTACCACCAAAAGATAACTTGGCTTTTAAAATCCACGAAAATGAAAGAATTATAAGTGAAATTCAAATTGGCTTAATAGGACTGATATCAGTGGCCAGAGAGAAGGTCTCACTTTGTAAGTGGATTTCTGACTACTAATTTTATTTCTCTCTCCTTACAATTACATGGTTAATAATTGGCTGCATTACAAAAGCCATTATTATGGTATTTTTGAAATCACACTATCATTCTCATGTTTTTGTAGATAAGAAACAGACCTTAAAATCCAGGGATTCTATGTAGTGAAGAGAACTGAAACGTGGATAAAAATGACAGATGAGGCTAAAAATAGAAAAAGGTGGCAGGAATGGGAACTGTGGCATATCTACTCAATAGGATTCTGCAGCCATTACAAATTGCTTTTGTGAGTAGTTAATAAGACAATGGAGTGATAAGATTATGCTGCTCCTTAAATGGAAAAATATAGAACATTTGGCATAAAAAACTAAAATCCAACAGAAAAATTAAGATAAGCAAATATACCATAAAATGTGGTTAGGTTTCAGTGGTACAATTAGAGATTATCCTTTTTGCCATATTTAAAAATGTTCTAAAATGTTGATGTTAATCTTATAAAGGACAAATGAAAGATTTAATATTTTACAGAAATTTAGAAGTTGGTGTTAGAGGTTTCACAGTCAATATTGAACTCCCCTTTGTAAGGTTCTTTGGGTCTCTGTTTTTCTCTTCTTTCCAAATGCTCCAATTCCTATCAGCCATCCCCTGGAGAGGTTATATTTTGAGCCCAGAAATGGGTCTTGAAGATTCAAAGTAAGGAAACCATAGTGTCACCTTCTCCCTTAGGATCTGTTTGAGAAACGCACTGAGAAATTCACTCAATTTGTTAGAGTGAAGAACTTCCTACAAATGCCTTTTTCTGCATTTTTTATGTTCTTAAGAAACCTAGAATGTCCTAAATAATTTACAGTCCCTTTACTGGGTTTGGTTTCTAGATGTGTGTTCAGTTTTTTCCCGACAGTAAGTGACTTTCCTTCTGAGATCACTGATTACTATGACACTAATGGCTCAATTAAAACCAAGATGTAACTTTCAGATATCATCTATTTTAAGAAGACAAAAATAAGCTCAATAGGAGGTAACCCTCCAGCTACTTCCTAAATTGCTTACAGCAATTTCCCCACCCCTTTAAAAAGCTATTTTCTCCAAAAGTACATTTCAGTCCATGGTATGTCTTCATGGCAGATGGCAGTGCTGGGCTCATCTCTCAGGAATCTCTAATGTAGAGCTACATCAGGAATCACAAAGCGAAGGGTGAAAAATTAATGCTGCTCTTTTGCCTTCTCTGGGAGA